TCCCAGAAAATTGATGAGTATGTTCGCTCAAGCGTGTCCCTAGATGCACCTCTGACAAGTGCTTTAGTGTTACAGTCGTGGCCGTACTCGTCCGCGAATCATAAGCTATACCGTAGATATACAACGCTGTTAGTCTATCAGCTCGCACACCCGCGCCGTTCGGATCAACTGCTGCGATCGAGTTCAGCTTGAACTCATACCCTGTTGTCAGGATGAAAGATCTCCATACCGACGCAAGTGAGGGTATTCCTATCGGAAGACTCGTACAAAATTGATGTCTGGCTGCTTGTCAGACTTCCCTCGTACTGCTGATGGCCGCGTGTATCACCTCGGTCTCAAGGCTGGCGAGATCGCGAACAGAATCGTATGTTCGAGTCTTTCCATAGACGGGGGTCCGTATCGACAGGCATCAGGTGGCAGTTGGACATCCTTCTAGAGCTCTGGTTATCGAAGAGCACTTAGACAAGTCTCCCGTGCCTTTCAAACTCACGTCGGAGAGGGGATTCGTGACCATCACCGGGAGGTACAAGGGTGTCCCTGTATCGATCGTCAGCACCGGTATGGGATTCCCCAACACGGATTTCTTTGTGCGCGAAGTTCGTGAATGTTTGAGGGGGGATATGCTCGTTGTTCGGTTGGGTGAATTGGCCCGCGCTGGCGTTTAAAGCTGCTGATGTATCTATCCCTAGCCTCGGTTCGTGCGGTGCACTTATCGATATCCCTCCTGGATCTCTGGTGGTCCCTAAGGCTTGCGTTGCCATCAACAGAAATTGGGACTACGACTTTATCAACGGAGACACTACGCAGCAACCTTACTTCATTACGAAGCAGGTATACACAGAGCCAATGCCGATACAATCACTGAGGCTAACATCTCTCGCGAAGGTGGAGGCAGATCAGGAAATTTACGAAGAGGTGATGATACACCTTTCTCGTGTAATTTTCCGACTTTAATTTTCGTAGGTGTGCAAATCGCTCGAGGCTACTCGACCAGAAGGGCAGACCGCAAAGATTGTGAAAGGCATCGTGAATGCGTCGACAGACAGGTGAGGCAGTAAAACCGTGGCGGGCATCCATATCTTACCTGTTAGCCAGTTTCTATTCATCACAGGGCCGGCAGACGTCATTCCCAGATCGTAATGAATACTTGATACCACACTTATTGGAGACAGTTCCTGACATAGGGTCCTTTGAGGTACCAACTTGAACGACGACCCCCACCTCATTCATTGATCCCTTACGTTCCAGATGGAAACATTCCACTTGTACCACCTCGCAAAGAATTACGCCCCCGTTCGTCCTCAGCCGCTCAGTGTCGCAGAACCACCTGTTTCTGCCGAACCAGCCTCCCTAACTGTGGAATCTGCAACGGGATCCACTCAGTCCAATGTCCCTGGCAAGACGACAGCATCGCCCTCTCGCATCAGAGCTGCCGCGGCCCAGATGATCTTTGCTGCCCGACTATCCAAAGCTTTCATAACCCCTGAAGAAGTTGTCGAGCTAGAAAGGTGGTCAGGCCGTGGCATCCTCGAAGCCTTGATCGGGATCGACCTTCCACCAGACGTAGGCAGCTCTCATTCGTCTTCCGTACTTCTTTCATGATCACTAACTAGAGAGACAAAATACCTCACAGCATTGTCACGACGAAGTGGGAAGCGTCTGGGAAGCTAGAGTAATCGAGAGTCACTGAAGTGGACCACGAGATTGGCCTTACTACTTGTCAGCGCAAACTGCTAAAGTCTCATGCCCGCGGAGGATATCACGAATGCCTGAATTCCCTAGTTATAAGTTTGTACACAAATTTCCATAGTTATATACACGTCTTAGCCACCGGTCTTCGCTTGTCTACAACTTCCTTTCAATGAAACTTTCGATCACTCCAGCAGAGGTGAGGGGGTATTCCTTGAGGACAACCTCGTCATTCTCGATAAACGTATTGGGTTGGATGAAGATCTTTCGGGGCTGCAGGAGAACCTTCAGTCAAGACGAACAAGATAACGGTCAACGCACTAACCAGTTTCTTCTTCAGAACCAAATCCCTGATCTCTCCTTCCCATTCAGGGGGAGGCTTTGTAAGTTCCGTGTAGAATGCCTTAGCGCCCTCTCCATCGGCGGTGCTCTTGCGGACCTGGAGTTCGATCAAGAGTTTTCCGGTCGCTGTCTTGCCCTCGGTCAGGACCTTGTCCCTATCAAGCTGGGGTCGCATGGTAAGCCGTGGATTTTGGTGCGGACAACCTCGAAGAGACTAACTCGGATATAGAGATTTTCCAGGACACCATCAGCGGTGCGAATCTCCTCTACCCTCGCAATACCTTCCTTAATCAACCACCGCGTGATACCGAGACGGGCCTGCATATGGGCCTGACCGTGCTTTTTGGCGACGGGGTCATAGAATTCCAGGGCGCGAATACCTTAAGTAGCGTCAATTCCTGCGAGCTAGTATTGGTGTGGATTTATTTACCAGCGCGAACCATGATGAGGAACATGGCATATTGTACATCCTCAATATCTTGCTGCGATGTATACTGAGGGGGTGGATCGGCTTTTATCAACGGTTGCCTCCCCGGTTTTAGACATGCCAAACCTTGAAAATGCTCAAAATTTCTCTGTTTCCTGCCACTGTAAGATGTGATTGTCAATTTATACTCGCCAGGTGATGAATAAAACCACGCACGGTACAGCGCCACAGCCTCTGCCCTCATTTCCTCTAGCGACGAAGAGACATCTCCCAAGACCGATCCGGGGGTTTGACCGTACCCATACCACGATGTACTCAACGCTTTGTATGAGGGTATGCACCAGGAAGTAAAAGGCACGCTTACATGGGTTTTTTAGTGAGAGGGTTAATAACCTTGTCGGAGTCGAAGTTCTTCTTGCCACTAGCATCCACTTGGAACAACTTTCCGGAACCATGACCCAAGAGTTCGTGGTTTGCTACCTGAACTTCGAAGGCGCGAGAATCCCAAGAGTTGTACAAGCGGAGGTCACTCGGGTGGACAAATGTGACCTCCTCATCTATGCCCATGATTTAGTTTTCGATCTATTGATCGCGTCTAGTTCTCACTTGGAGCCTTGGCAGCCAGGATGTTCTACTTCAAATATAAGTCACAGCATCTCATCAAGGAATTAGATCGTCACTGACGGCGAGGGAGACGTTCTTGAATCCCACAGATTCCCGAATCTCGTAGTAGTTGGGGATCTACCGAATCAGGTCAGTCTAATCACCCGCGACTGGAGTGGGAACAACACACGTTGATGCCAGCAGGGATACCGCCGGTCGCGAAGGAGACTATCTGAAGGGCAGTAAAATCCGGCTTTCTGAACACATCAACCTCGAAATCTGGACCCCATGGAAGGTCCTTGATCAACTCTGGGGCATCGTTGACCAACGTCTCATACTTGGTGCTCATCTCCTTGTCGACAATCGCAACGAAACCTGTTTGATGACCATCACCCAACCGTAAACGTCGATGAAATCGTGCACTTGCCTTCCCATTCGGCGCGACTGCCATACGGATCCACGTAGCTTTTAGGAGGGTCAGACGGTACAGGATTGTGGGAGGAATGCAAACGCACGTCTCAATAAAACCGATGTAGCTCTCGACAACGGGCCCGATGTCCTTCACCCACTCGATTGATCCCTTCTTGTGCGCGGGGACGGAACCGGTTCGGAATCTATTGCGTTCTTAGGGCAGTGGTCGCTGCTTGGGAAATGGAATACTTACGATTCAATGTACTGATCAATCATCCTAGACTGGTGGTCATTGGCAGTATATTTCCTGGCCTTGAAATCCACAAGGTAAGTTGGCACCCGTCATCTGGGGGAGACGTTGCACCTCTGTCAAGGCATCGATAGCCTTTTTTAGGGGTTCTGAGAAATCCCCGTATTTGATGGCCAGTGTGATCTTTTTGCCCTCCACCTCGATCTCATGCTCAGCCTCGGCAGATGGCTGCTCCTCGGACGAGGCAACCAGAAGCGTGAGCTCGCTTGGAGAATCCTTGCGAACCCTTGCATAGCTCAGGGTCTAGTCCTTGCTTTTCACTGCGTGACATACCGAGTATTGAGAACATTCACGTCATGCTTTTCTGCAGCCTCCTGAACGGCAGCGACCTCCTCGTCGCTGATGATTTCACCGGTATAGTAATTCGAGATGTGTCCGAGGCTGCGTTTTCCGATGGAGAGGCTTGGAGCTGGTGCAACAGAGTAAATGTGCTCTCGAAGCTACAAGAGTCATCAGCTTCTACAGGGCACGCTCCAGCAGTTGTGAATACGTGCCGAATTCCAGACACCGAGCGCATTGGAGGAATTCGGTGATGCCTTGACCACTGCGTGGAACTTTTCCTCTGGGATGCGAGGGATGAATTTGGTGAATCCGAATGATTTATAATTCACTAGATTGCTCAAAACCTAGCCTCCCAATTAGACCCAGAGGATAAATGAAAGAAATAGGACCCGCACCTGGCTCGAGTACTGCAGAAGGTCTTCCCATTCCCCATCGCTCACACCAGACTTTTTCTTGAGGGCATCGAGGTTAGTGAGCTTCCCATTCTCACTGAAGATGAGGATGATCAAGTCATAGAGGGTCTGGGCTTGCTCGGTCCATTGACCTTGGATGATCCTGGCACCCGCCCAACAAGCCTCGGAGATGTGATGTGCATACTTCTTCTCCCGAGTACTGCGAAAGGAACGGTCATGAGGCAAGCCTCGTACAAGTGGTATGAATGTGATATTTGCCTGAGGAGAGCGAATGCCTTTGCGATTTCGAGGCTGCAAATAGGCGCAGCACGATCAGCCAAGAAACGTTCGGAAGATAGAGTCATGTTTCCGGCGAAGATGCGTGGATTGGAGAGTGGAGATGGGCTCGAATGATAAGGAGACCGCCCAAGTCTTAGTCTCTGTCACGAATCTGATCATCATGGTGACATAACTATGGGGAAATGAGCGCGACTTCAAGTCCATGACTTGGGGACTGTCTTAGATTTGTGGCATGTTCCCGTAAGCCGTCGTGGCGCAATGGTAGCGCGTCGCTTTCCTATGAATCACATAGGCGAAGGTTGCGAGTTCGATCCTCGTCGGCGGTATATTTTTGTTCAGATCAGCTGCCCACAACGAACGGAATTGAGTTAGCACAGGAGACATAGAGCCTACTTCGAGTCCGAAGAAACGGTGTTTACACGGGTATAGTTTTTGAGAAGTGTGGACCACTCTTCGTCCACTTGTGGTACAACGCCCTCATCTAACCTTTCAGTATCAACCCCAACCCATCCGAGAGCGCGCCGGTAGCATTCCGCTGCTTTCGTGGGACTCCCGGTTTTGGACCCTTCCGTCAAAAGCCCAATTAAATGCCACGCTTCCGCCGCCGACCTTCGAGAATCTCGGAGTAAACTTGAAGCTGGTCGTTGTATCGACGCCGATCCTGAGAAAGAGGCGACCAATGGAGAACGTGCCATGGAAGAGAGTGGGATCGCGCGTCTGGATCCTCGCTGCGCTGCCTCGGACAAAGTGAAAGCTACTCGTTCAGATGATTCTGCCGCATTGGTGAGCCACTGGATCGAAGTTTCCAGTGATGAGCGGAGGCCGTGCTGAACTTCAGCGAGGTGTATGGAGAGGATTGCGGAACGATGGAGGAGATAGAGAGCGTGAAGTACCTCTCCAGGCGACGAGGAGGAGAAGGATTCTGGCGGCTTGATTGACCGTATCAGGTCCAATGACAGCGTCTCCACCTCTCGGGCTTTCTTCAATTGCCCCGTGGTGGCGTAAAAGGCCGAGACTGACAAGAGGGTAGATATGAGGGACCTCTGGGCAAGAGGAGACGACGGAGCTGAGGTAGGCACGGTAAGTGGGATCCTGGTTGTGGGGTCCCTCCCTCCGGCAAGCTGGACTGCCCGTGTCCACCACACGACCGCGTCGTCAAACTCGCCCAACTGCTTATTGAGGTCCCCTAGCCGTTGCGCGATCTGTGAGGCCTCTACCCCTGAGGGAGGAAAGGTTTTCCACATTTGCTCCAGCTCGGATCTCGCTTCGAGCAAAGAATCTTTATATCCCAAAAATTCCAGGAGAATCGCGTGGCGGGTAATTAGTGTCCGGAGGGTGTCTTCTGATATATTTGAGCCATTCGCGCGATCCGTCATCGCCATGCTGATCGCAATCTTGAGGAACTCCTGGGCAGATTGGGTGGCTGAATCGACGACGTTTGGATTGCTCGCTCCCATGAGGCTCCCGCTTGATCCCGTTCCCCAATTCTGAGCCATCCAAGCACTGCGCACCGCATGCCTACACCTGAAACCTAACATGCTGTCCGTCCCTCCAGAGCCCCGCGGCGACCATCTGTCCCCTTGCAAATCCCACTCCCACTTTCGGACGTCGGGATCCGTTTCAGTTGCGAGCGCCACGTTCTCCACATAGAGATGAACCGCCTCGAACGCTGTGCCTAGCGTGACACCGAGGGTGAGGACCCCGACGAGGGAGTACTTGAAAGCTCTGCCAAAGTAGCCAGTTGCAAATGATACTGGGTTGGAATGATACTGAGGGAAGACTTTGACCGGGTCTTGGGAAGAGCCGGCGCTAAGTTTTCGGATTCGCGTGTACCGTAGAAGACGTGCGTCCCACCGTGGGCAACGGCGAAGTGTGGAGGTGAACATCACGGATAGCGGATGAGACGCGGTTACGATGCGATCGGAAATTGCAGAGGCCTCACAGACGCGTCTTGTCTCGTGCGTTCATGAAGTTCTACATCGATGACTTACCTGTGTGCACATTCCCTCCCACATTTCGCCGGTCTTATGAGCTAACGCCTGTACAGATAATCTTTCCTTATGACCGTATTTATCCCGGTCTGCACCCTCCCCCCTAAATCGCCAATCAAGCTTTATTCACACCTCCCAACAGAACAATATGCTTATATGTGCGACCTCAAGCGCACCCTCGATGCTACAGTAATTCGTCTGCTGCTTCTTTACAAACCCGGCTGCAATAAGTTCTGATAGGGACACTGTGTGCTCGAGATGCCTTCGGGGACGGGAAAGACGGTTTCACTCCTCTCCTTGATCGTCTCTTACCAACAGGTAACCGAATGCCCTACTGCGCGTCACCCACCCTAACGGAAGGCCACAGTTCTTCCCTACCAAGCGGAAGCTCGTCTACTGTTCGCGAACGGTCCCAGAGATCGAGAAGGCGTTGGCTGAGCTGCGTCGATTGATGGAATACCGGATCGAGGCCGCCGAGACAGAGGCAGAAAAGGAGAAAGAGCGCGACTTCACTGGGCTCGGGCTAACCAGCCGGAAGAATTTGTGCATACATCCCGATGTGCGGTTGAGGTCTTCAGTTTCGTCCCCTATCGCTCAACAGTTCACAGGTTTCCAAAGAGAAAAAGGGGGTTGTTGTAGACGCTCGATGTCGGGATCTAACCAATGCTGCGGTTGTTCAACGTGGTCGAGATAACCCAGGCTCCGTTGATTTGTGCGACTGGCACGAGGTGAGCTCGAACCGCATATCGCTGTTCTTGAAACTGACCTTCCGAAGAACCTCGAGGGAATGGAGCCGGGTAAGCTCGTTCCTCCAGGAATATGGACGCTCGCAGATGTGATGGAGTATGGACACAAACACGGAAAGTGCCCCTACTTCATCGTTCGTCGGATGGTGAGTTAAACTCCCTGCGGATTCCTCACGGCAACTAAACGTTCTCGAGATGCCATTCGTCAACGTGATCATATATTCCTTTCATTATCTGCTCGACCCCAAAGTGGCGGATCAAGTGTCGAAAGAGCTAGCGAAAGACGCGATCGTGGTCTTTGACGAGGCTCACAATATAGGTAAATCGGTTTCATGATCATTTCAAGCAAAACACTCACCCGCTCACAGACAATGTCTGTATCGAGTCCCTGAGCATAGACTTGACTCGTCCGATGTTGGAATCTGCGACGCGAAGCGTTACGAAACTTGGAGAAAAGATTGACGAGTGGGACTTTAATCAAATAGGTGTGGGGTTTTGTGACGAGCTTAATTTGCAGGATCAAGAAGACGGACGCATCTAAATTACAAGATGAATACGCCAAATTGGTCGAGGGCCTCCAAGAAGCTGGGGATGACGAGGACGGATTCATGGCTAACCCTGGTTAGTGCCATCTTGCGTTATAGATGAAGCAGATAGCTCAAATTACGTTTGCAGTCCTCCCTGATGACCTGCTCAAGGAAGCAGTCCCGGGCAATATCCGAAAGGCCGAGCACTTTGTTGCGTTTTTGAAGCGCTTCGTTGAATATCTGAAAGTAGGCCGATCACGTTTCTGACGTATGACCGGGGCTGAACCGTTCCTAGACCAGAATGCGGGTTCTCCACGTCATTGCAGAAACGCCGCTATCATTTTTACAGCATCTGAAGGATATCACATACATCGAAAGACGCCCGCTGAGGTAAAGTTTGGTGGTATAGTTGGCCCCCCGCTGATTACAAAGCGCAGGTTTTGCGCGGAACGGCTGCAGTCGCTGGTCAGGACGTTGGAGCTAAACCGATTAGATGAGATCCACGCGCTTCAGAAAGTGGCCTCGTTCGCGACCCTGGTAGCGACTTACGAGAAAGGTATACCTCCGGGTCGTATTACGGGTGTGCGTTCGCTTACATCCTGCAGGGTTCCTGCTGATTCTGGAACCGTTCGAGACCGACAATGCAACGGTACCTAACCCGATGTTCCATCTGACGTGAGTGGGCATTACGGGAGAGACCAGACTGGATGAATGGACACCTGGCAGATGTTTGGATCCGTCGATTGCCATCAAACCCGTCTTTGAGCGGTTTAGCAGCGTGGTGATCACTTCGGGGACGATATCGCCGCTAGACATGTACCCAAAGATGCTGCAGTTTACACCTGTGGTGCAGGAAACGTATGCGATGACGCTTACGCGGAATTCGTTCCTGCCGCTCGTACGAGGTTCACACTCTCACGTTCTCTCCAGAAGCTGAGCTGATTGGCAGGTGATCACGAGGGGCAGCGATCAGGTGGCGATCAGCTCGAGGTTCGAAGTTAGAAACGATCCGGCGGTGGTGAGAAATTTTGGAAGCATCTTGATCGAATACAGCAAAATCGTACCGGATGGGATCGTCGCGTTCTTCCCAAGCTATCTGTATATGGAATCTATCGTTGCAGCGTGGAATGATATGGTGGGTGTGAGCCCTGTACCCTAACTTCTGGCTCTGATGCGCGGGTTTTTCCCTAGGGGATTTTAAATGAAGTATGGAAGCACAAGCTGATCTTCGTTGAGACCCCAGATGCAAACGAGACTAGCGTCGCGTTGGAAAATTACCGGAAGGTGTGTGGCGAGACCGAGTCGGGGGCCGTTTCCTGTTTGCTTAACGCCGCAGGCGTGCGACAACGGACGAGGTGCCGTTCTGCTCTCGGTCGCGCGTGGAAAAGTATCAGAAGGGATTGATTTCGATCACAACTACGGACGAGCGGTGATCATGTTTGGGTGTGTGCAATCACCACTGCAGGTTGTCATCTTGACGTAACGTTGTGAGGTCAGGGTTCCGTATCAGTACACAGAGAGCCGGATTTTGAAGGCGAGGTTGGAGTATCTTCGGGACGCATACCGGATCCGTGAATCCGAGTTCCTCGGGTTCGACGCTATGCGGAACGCAGCCCAATGCGTCGGACGTGTCCTTCGGGGAAAAACAGACTGGGGGCTGATGATATTCGCGGACAAGGTTTTTATAATTTCCCAGAGGTGCAGAGTGGACTTTGCTGACCGTTGGTTAGAGATTCGCACGAGCGGACAAGAGGGCTAAATTGCCTCGGTGGATCAACCAATACATCACCGAGACGGCGGTGAACCTGTCGACGGACATGGCGATTGGGCTTTCAAAACTGTTCATGCGGACGATATCGCAGAACCCGAAAGAGAACCAGACGGGGGTCTCACTCTGGGCACTCGAGGACATTCATAGAGCTCAGGAAAAACAACGGGAGCTGAACTTGGCAGCCGCGGAGAAGCAAAGACGGGGCGATGATGGAGACGAGGATGAGTACGAGTACGGGGATGGTTGGATCAGCGATGGTGCACTTGGGGAGGTGGACTTGGACGAGCCGTG